GTGGGGCTGCTCTGCCAGGGCCGCGCCGCTTTCCTGTGATCTGCGTTCTGGTCCACAATCCCCGCCGGGCACAGCGCCCCCAATTCACGGGACGGAACAGGACCCCACCCTGGGGTGTCAGTCACCCAACCGAGAGTGTGTGAGGGGCACTGCTTCTTGGAAACGCACCTGCCACTCTCTCCATTTGCTTCTTCCAGTGGCCGCCCGATCCGGCCGTCAGCGGGCACATCCCTGAGGGGCTTCCTGGGCGCAGGGTCCCGCTGGGTCGCGGCTCAGCCACAGGCCCGCGGCAGACACTGGCAGGAAGAGCTCCGAAGCCCAGCACGGCTCACCGTCCGCCATCGGGTCCCACAGCAGCTCGTGGGCCATTTCTCAGTTGACGACACGCGGCCTAGAGGGCAGGCGGCTGCACAGGACCTGCCAGCAGGAGCGCAGCTGTGATGGGAGCCCAGGTCTCCTGGCCTGGGGCTGCGTTTAAAAGAACCAGATGCCTCCAAGCAGCAAAGGAATCCCTCCCAGCTGGGCTGCCCCCCATTCTCCCAGCAAGCAGCCCAGGCCTCCCCCGGCCACTGACTGTCCTGCATTCAGCACAGACTCCACTGGAGAGTTTTTCATGATTTGCCTTTTCCTGTGGGAACAGGCAAGGGCCAGGCCGGAGCCGCACTCATTCAGCCTCCGGCTGGAGGAGGGGCTCAGGGGGAGCAATCAGTGACCCGGGAGGAGGGGGACCCCCAGGGGGCTGGTCCGGGCGGAGGGGAGAGGAGAGCCGACTTCCACCCACTTTCCCACTCCCAGCCCAGCCCCAGTCCCGGGAGGGCCTGGCCAGTGCAGGCATGGGTGGCAGCAGATGTCAGAGCCTGATCGGGCCTGTTTTCCAAGCGCTGCCTGCGTCCTGCCACCCGCCCACCCAGCTCTGCCGCCGGCCGGCCTCCCTCAGGGACGGCATCAGGAGGGACCGTCCCAAACCCGCTTCCCTTCCAGTGGGGCAGGCGGCGGCTAACCACCCCAGGAATCGCTCATGCTTACGTCAGATCCTTCTGGAGTGAGCCCCCTGACACCCATTCTCCCCACATCCTTTACTATTTTGTGTAAACCAACGATGTTGTTTTCCCTCTCTGATGAGTAAAATAATAGATGTTTGTGGAAAATGTATAAAATTCAAACTGTATACAAAAGAAGACGAAAAGCTCCCATGATTCCACAGCCCAAACAGCCAGCATTGCTACCTGGTGGGTTTCCTCTGCTTCAGGCCGCCACACACTCATTTTCCTTCTGCCTGAAAGCACTGCCCCTCATCCCCTCCCCTCCCCCTCATCC